TAACTACAATAACAATTATTACGCTCAAAATATTGGAGAACAGTAGCAATTGTGTAATATAAAGCAAAGAGATATCTAAGAAGTCTTATATAAATTGTTAAATTCTACAGCACGTCTCTAGGTGCGATATCCGATATTCAGGGCCGGATTTTCCCTTAATGCAGCCCTGGGCACCGTAAAAGAATGCCGCTCCATTACCCATATTGCACACAAAAAAGATGAGGGTTCAGAATACTTTTTGACATTCTGATATAAAAACCACTAATTAATTAATAAAAACCTAATTAATATAATTAACATACCTATATATATATATAGGGTTGTTCGGAAAGTCATTTCGTTTTTTCCCGACCGAGGATTTAATTGTATTCTTTTGCACCCAACTTCACATTTAAGCCGTATAATTTTTATATGCTTTGAGAGCTCATATAGCAAGGCTTGTGTGTGAAAAATTCCAATTAATTCTACGCAGTAGTTTTTGGTTGGTGCCCTTTTAAATATGGAGAGCGATAAGCAGCATTTTCGACATATCTTACTGTTTTACTACAGAAAGGGTAAAAATGCTGTTCAAGCCAGAAAGAAATTGACTGATGTGTATGGAGAAGGTGTGTTGACAGTACGCCAGTGCCAGAACTGGTTCGCTAAATTTCGATCCGGCAATTTTGATGTCGAAGATGCACCACGTTCGGGAAGGCCGGTTGAAGCTGATAAAGACGCGATAAAGGCATTAGTTGATGTGAACCGGCGAATAACAACACGTGAGATCGGATTGAGGTTAAATTTATCAAATTCAACAGTTTATGACCACTTGAAAGGCCTGGGATTATCCTCGAAGCTCGATGTATGGGTTCCCCATGTTCTCACAGAGAGAAATCTGTGTCGCCGCATTGACGTCTGCGATTCGCTTCTCAAACGTCACGAAAATGATCCGTTTTTGAAGCGCATCATCACTGGGGACGAAAAATGGGTTGTATACAACAACGTCAAACGCAAGAGGTCATGGAGCAAAAAAGATGAACCGGCTCAAACCATTTCCAAAGCCGATATTCACCAAAAAAAGGTGATGCTGTCTGTTTGGTGGGATTTTAAAGGAATCGTTTTTTTTGAGCTTTTACCGGATAACACAACGATTAATTCGGAAGTCTACTGTCATCAGCTGGACAAACTGAATGATGCACTTCAACAGAAAAGGTCAGAACTAATCAACAGGAAAGGTGTAGTGTTTCACCAAGACAACGCGAGACCTCACACAAGTTTGGTCACTCGCCAAAAGCTTTTACAGCTTGAATGGGATACAATGCTACACCCACCATATTCTCCAGACCTGGCACCATCGGATTATTATTTGTTCCGGTCACTCCAAAATTTTTTAGACGGTAAAACCTTCACCTCAAATGAGGAGGTCAAAAACCTCCTCGATCAGTTTTTTGCCAGCAAAGACCAAAAATTTTATGAGCGTGGAATTATGCTACTACCAGAAAGATGGCAAAAGGTGTTGGACCAGAACGGTCAATATATAATTTAATAAAGTATTTGTTTATTATACGAAAACTGTCTTTCATTTCCACAAAAAAAAACGAAATGACTTACCGAACAACCCGATATTTACTGAATAGTTACGTTTGGAAATACTTATAAGAAACCAGATACTACAAATGATAGAATTCGCAACAAAAACCTAAATAAACCCAGACCGTAGCGTTGGATAAAATGCATCGACGTTATTCAATTATCAAATATTTATCCTTCATATATTTACTAGGTTATAGCCGCGGCCTTCGCTCGCGTTAATGTCCTCAATACGTATCAAAGATCATCGACGACCACATAAAACTAATTTTTCTATCCCTTGGGAACAAGTTTTTCTCTAGTTTTCTGTACTCCTGACAATACAGAAAGCATCGGCCCTAATAGACCATAAAATCCTCGCTCGACTATTTTATATTTCATGAAATAGATCCTAAGTAGTATTTTCAATACTAAAAATAGGCAACACCTTTTTCTTTTAAATTTTTTTTTTTTGGTATGTGAGTGTAAGCGACTTATTAATTAATTATCAAAAGATTTCGAAAATGAAACTCGCTCATTTATTTTATATGTATTAATAGAAATCGATAGGAAGTAGAAATACATTTACATTTCGAAATTTTGTCCATAAATTTAATGTTAGGTATTTCTAAGAAGCCAGGCCACGGCAGCTTCGAATCTTATCTCGAAACGATAGGCGAGCACACGTTTGTGAACTAAAGATACAATTCAAACTATATATTCTACGGTATATTGAGATAAGAGCAAAGGAAAGCTGGAGGGTTTCACTTCAATTAATATTGCATTATCTACAACCGCGAAACACTCGAGGTTAAAGCTTAATCCGCGTGAGGCATCTTCTATCCTTTGCTTAATTTAAGTGACAAAATCAGATTATGGTCTAGATACATTATCCACATCACGGGAAACTCAATTATGGATAGCCTCGAAATTTAGGGAGCCATGAATGATAAATGTAGCCAATTTTAAACTAAACAAAAGCATCAAAGTACAAAAACGGTTTAATACATAATTTACCACTTAATTACCAAAAGCTACCCAAACCGTTGTCCTTCACGTCCTCTAGAATTACATTTAAAGTACGTAAATTCCTAACGATTAGGTTTGCCGCAAGATGAGGCGCAGCTCGGTGACATGACCCAACGACAAATTTTTCGGTCACGGCGACGAATATCGCAAGTTTGATCACCCTGGTGTTCGTGCCGTTTACTTCAGTTCTGGATTTGATGGCAGCGATCCAGTAAGTCCTTGGATGGAACCGTTTATTCAACGTTTCCCTGATTCTGAGCTCAGTTTTAGAACAACCGCACCAAAAGATTCTATGAACTTACTACGTTCCCTGCAGAGGTGTTTGCGAAACGTTAGATAAACATTTTTCACCAAAGGAGGGACCTCATCACTGGCCGTGAATGCCACTGTTAGTTCTCGTTAAAAATATCGATTCACCGATACTTATAAACAATTGTCGATTACAATAATAACGACTGAAAACAACTGCTACATATCGATACATTTTCGACCCTGAGGAGGGTACCTGCAGAGGAGTTCGCGAAACGTTGGATAAACATTTTTCACCAAAGAAGAGACCTCATCACTGGCCGTGAATGCAATTGTTAGTTCTCGGCAAAAATATGGATTACAATAATAACGACTGATAACAACTGCTATATACCGATAGTCATCTATATACCGATATTTTCGATAATTTGTTATCAATAGTTATCAATACGACGATGGTTATGGATGAAAAATACCTAATCATCGATATAACGATATATTCGATAATTATCCATAGTTATCACTATATCAATTGTTTTCAATGAATAGCGACATATTGATAACTACCGGTAATAATTATCGAATATACCAATGCATCGATATATAACGGATGCATTCATAAAAATCTTCAATCAAACCTTAAAAATTGCGAAATGCCCATACAAAAATACGCCTAAGCTTCCCTGATGAATAACGTCTATTTTTAGGGATTTCCCATAACATCGCCTAAAGGGGCATACAGATTCAAACTTCCGATCGACTTCAGTTGACCAAATCTATCTACGCGGTTTGTCCAAAAAGTATCGCGAATTTTTAATTACCGCGGGTTACGTATATTCAATTTTTGAGCAAAAAACAAGTGTTGACTCGTCTTCGATTTTTGTCTGTTCCAAAAAACGGATCAAAGAATCTGTATCAAATTTTGTGTGCGGACGTATTCCGAATGTTGACTGTGGCATATGATGAAGCTACCTTGGATTGAAGCAACGTTTATCGGTGGTACAAAATGATCTCAGAGGGCTGAGAAGATGTGAACGACGAAGAGCGTGCCGAACGCCCGAGCACGTCAATAACTTGACTTCTGTTATTCGATTTTTACCAATGATTTGTACCAAAATTGCTCCATTTCGTCCGCGACGATCCAAATTTGCTCGAGAGAGTCATAACTGGTGACGAATCATGCGTTTATGGTTATGACGTGAAAACCAAAGCTCAATCATCCCAATGGATGCTGCCGCACAAGCCAAAACCGAAAAAAAACGCACCCAGTTAGGTCGAATGTGAAGATTTTCCTAACATTTTTCTTCGAATGCAGGGGCGTGGTACATCATGAGTTCTTGCCGCAGCGTAGAAAGGTCAATAAAAAATATTACCGGAAAGTTATGCGCAATTTTCGCAAAGCAATCCGCCAGAAACGCCCTGATTAGAGGAAAAACAAAAATTGGCTTTTGCACCATGATAACCTTCTTGTTGTGCGCGAATTTTTGGTCAAAAACAACACATTAATAATGCCGCAGCCACCGTATTCCCCAGATCTGGTCCCCTGTGGCTTATTCTTGTTCCCGAAACTGAAGAGGCCCATGGAAGGACGACGTTACGCTACGAATTAGGAGATAAAGACGGCATCGAAGGAGGAACTGAACAAGATCACAGGAAATGATTTTTTGAAGTGCTTCGAGGATTGGTAAAAACGTTGGCACAAGTGTATAATATCGACGAATAACTATCGATTTATCGACATCATAACTAAAATCGGCTATCGCCTAAGACTAGCCACAGCCTTGTCATCAATCTTGTACTATTAGAGGTGACCGCTGAATAAAGAAGAAGGAACGACAATGTGAAGCATTAGTGAAGTTATTAATTCGCCCTTCCGGTTATTGAAATTTGAGGATGTATTGCCGTCGGTATGCTATCTTGAAACAGTAGCAATAGAAAATATCAAAAAGACGCGTCTTAATCATCCCTTAATTGCACCACCTAACCATTTCTAACCTCAAAAGAGGTGGCTATACAACGACAACTGACTTTGAATTGTAAAATAGCAAATATGAATACATTTTATAATCTTCAACACCCTTGTATTTTCGATATCGTCAAAAGATAATGAGCAACGCATCGGTTATTATACACACCTTATAATAATGGCAGTGAAAAGTCATTATTTTTCTTACCTGTTGAGCGGTAGCATTTCCTTCCGTTACGTCAAAAGGCGGTCTAACTGAGCACAGCGTCCTTCCCATTAACGAATATGCACATAGCATAATAAAACCTGGAATAAAACACAATTTCAAAGCTACCAAACGCTTTGATCTAAAGCGGATACACATAGATGCATAAAGAAAGCTCGAAGTGGTTATAAGTACTGCAAGCAGCTTCAGATTTGTATCATTGGTAGAAATACAAATCTCAGGCAAGTGTCTGTGTTGTTGAAATAAGAAAGGAATCGTTATCTCACCTGGGACTGCGAACATGACAATGTAGCAAACAATTCCGAAAGCTTTTCTGGTAAAAATGAATCCGTTCCAGTTTTCGTAACAGAATCGCAGGGTGACACTTCCAATTCTGTCCTCGTGTATTTGAACGAGTACGAGCAATGGCGCAAACAAAATCATGGGTGCCAACCACATCAATATTATTACCACGACGGTGGTCTTTTTGTTGAACCAGCGGTAGAATCCGAAAGGCTGGATGATCGCCAAATATCGATCTAAAGCCATTGCCGTTATTGTAAAAACACTCGATGCCACAGACACACCTGAAACAATAAAACACTTATTGCAAAAACAATTGCACAATAAATAATACTTCAACTCGCAATGTTTAACGAAATTGTGTTCCAATTGCATTCTGGTCAAATCTCGGCCGAATCTGCCGCACATTGCCAATAACAGAATTTAATTTGAACTTGTTCTAAACATTTAAAACTTTTTATAAATAGTTTTAGACTATGAAAAATGTTTAAAACATTAATTAAATAGATCACTTTTGGTTCATCTTAAACGTGTAAGTACGAATGCAACCACATAAGGTCCGTTCTTAGGTCGACGATCACAATTTAATGGGGCTAGATTTGTAGTGCGGTACATATGACATGATAAAATGCATATTTGTTTGCATATCGGTTTCTACAAATAGCAGTTTATTGTGTTAAGTACGCCCCTGATACAGTTGCTAGATCCTCTTCAGATAGAACCTGATACTACCCAGTAAATACCTTCCTTCCTCAGAGGTAAGTACCGTAGAAATAAGGCCTTACAAGCACTTTAACTTACAATTTTGCTTCACAGTAATATTAGCAATTATTATTTTACATAAAATAAAATTCCTTCAATTTCACTTAATCAATCACAAGTCTAAGATAAAACTGATTGCCAAAAAATGTTAACTAAACGTTGAATAATAAGCAAACATCAGTTTTCTTTCGGTAGCCACCAAAATATTAATTACCTCACTATGGTTTTATCGACTATTATGCATTAATACAATTAACATTAGATTTGTAAGATACTTTCTACATTGCAAGAAAGCCAAATAAATGTCACCGTTTAAAACAATACACCCTTCTTGCTCTAACTACAAATGGTTTAATTAATTGTAAACCACTTAAAGAGTTAAAGCAATTTAGTAACGTAAACTCTGGCTCAAGTGGCGAAATACTTTGCTCGTTAATTTGCATAAAGCTTAAGCCGCGTGAAAATTATGTCGAGTTTTCCCGAGTAGAATTTTTTTTAAATTACACTATTCTTCCCCTCTATCAGTCACTGTGAGCTCGAAAGTGTTAGCACCATTGTTTCGAGTGGTGGAAAATCACTTTTGTGAACAATTTGTTTAATCACTTTCATTGTTAAAAATTAAATTTAAAGGAATTGTCTGTAAATAGCTATGCAACACATCGTACACTTCAGCACAACAAATTGCTGATACTAACTACGTAATACTACTTTGCCCTGTGCTGCCAGCATATTTAAAGCTAGAAAACCTGTATTCTTTGATACTTTATTATATTCCTACCAATTTTTTTTTCATCTATACATTGTATAGTTCGGATGTTCAAATTTGGCATAATCCAGAATAGAACTGTAGCTTTACTTTCTTCATTCAACTTAATAAGTAGGCTAAAGCGGTTGCTAACAGAACGCCTACTTCTACTCACAACAGACGTTATAGGGAATATCGTAAGCATAGAAAAGAGATATTAGGTAGGAATTGCAGCGAACCCTAATAAAGAAAAAAGAGTAGCATTACACCGATTAATGTGTAACAAAAAGGGATACAGACAAACAGAATTTAAACATATTGCCAGCATCGGACTCTAAAGAAAGTTCAACATTCTAAGGAATTTAAGAAAGCTGCACCGCTTACTATTATTCAGTTATCTCTTTTCACGTTGCCTCATGAAGTATTTCCTAACTTAACAGGGGCGAGTCCAAAACGCATTAAATGACACAGCCCCAGGTGAAAACAAGAAAGAAGATATGTCCATTCTCACAAGTAATTTATTGCAAGCATTTCCAATTTTGATCGTTTCAACTATAATAGAAACATTTTAAGAATTATTTCAACTTAATAAACAGAAGTAACTACAGAATGTTGCGATTCAAACTAAATTTTATGAGTTCGTTTTCGCATTCATATATCAAACGCTAAAAAAAAAACGATCATCCCAAGGTCTAAAAAGAATTTTATTACTAGTTTTGTGTAGCGACCCAATATCGTTAATTTCGTTTCAATCCGAAAACTAAACAAACAACAAGTGAAAGGATTGAAGTGAATTTAATAATTTTGCCTTGGGTTGCTTCCCGACAAAATTTGTAACTGTTAACTTCTATTAATATAAAAGAACATAAACACAAAAACAAGCTTCTTTTATTACGGTTTAAAAACGCTGTGTAATATTAGACCGAAATCGTCGCGTTCAGGAAAATTCACTAAAAGGAAACAGGAAACTTTAAACTTCGAGGATAATGTTTCTAATTAGAAGTATGCCACATAATCCGAGCTACTTTCATGCCTTGAAAAGTAAAATTTATTAGGGAAGTTGAAGATAATTTCAATCCTAACGAAGAAAATACGCTCAGTTCACTTATTGAGTAGATGGCAATGGCTCAAGAATTATATAGCTACTCGAACTTGCGCATACTAAGTCACTGTTATGAGCGAATGCCGCAGGCAATCGATACCGGCGCGACGGAACCGAGATGTATCCGAAAGTCGGCAGCTTTGGGAAATAAATTACACAGCGAACAAGACAAGCATGAGAAAAGACACTTAAGGGAAGTTTTTGGGTGTAATCAGGAAATTTCACAGAATTCCCCTCTCTCAAAATATTACAACTTTTATATGACTTTAATTTATAAATTTTTAAATTGCTCGTACAAAATTGACGTCCTGACGAATGAAATTCAGATAACAGTAAAACAAGTACAAAAACAGCTAGATGACTAAAACAAGTACAGCTTCGAATATGAAATATCACCCTAATAAGGCAGCCAAATAAAAAAGTTCACCCCTGCTGTTTTTATTTTGAAGATACTTTACATTTCAAAGTATTTTTTTCAACGAAGAGGCTAAATAACTTTTCTCAAAAAGGGAGGCTCGTTCCCACTTTCCATTCATTAAGAAATATTCACCAATAATGGCACGCAATGTTTTCAAATTCAAAAATTAGAATAAATTGTTGGATGTTCTGATGATAAATATGCGAAAATATTTACCTAAAAATTAACTAACTATAGTATAGTCGAAATAAGAAGGCATAGTCCCCAATAAATAATGCACTCTAAAGGCATATCGTTTTTCTCGTTCTTACAAACGGAAGATATATCCTATCTTTATTCTCTAGACACGCCTCCTCCACAGCTGCGTCGAAGCCTGCACCTACGTTTCATAAGAATCAATCGAATAGAATGAGACGGTTGAAAACGTGCTTGTCTTGTTGTCTGTACCTACATTAAATGAGCAAATTTACAGGATCGGCTTAAGGTAGTAGTCGTGCTACAGTATGGTGAAAAAGTTATTGTAAGATCTAAGATAATTCAATGCAATAATATTTATATAATTTCGATTGTACATCAAAACAGATTGAATGAGTCTGTATTCATACATACCCACACATCTAAAAATATTAATTAAGTTTATCTCGAATTAGAGGAGGTCAATCGACTTCAAAAATAGTCAGCATTGAAGAGAAATGAATGCGTTATTGTTTATTTTTAATTTCATAAAAATAATTTTTTACAAAATAATACATCTGTTTTTAAATTAAAAGTTCCACCTTCTTTTCGTATCCGGGATACGGTTCTGCAACTAATGTTCAAAACCTCCGCCGCTATGTTTATAACGGAGATGTTTTCTCTACTTGTTTCTTTCTTTCTTTGAAAATAATTAATAACATTCCAAACAAGTTTTCTACTCTGAGAATTCAAAACTTCTCGGACCATTTCGTTGAAAGTTAACAACAAAAATAGCAATAAAAACAACAATAACAACAACAATAACACCAACAAAAACAACGACAACAATAGTTACAACGAAAAAATAACTTAAACGATACATGTAGAGAGATGACTATTCGCACAAATACACCAACTAAATTAAGCCGACCCTGTAAAATTGCCCATTATATGTAGGTAAAAATGACAAGACAAACATGTTGTCGATCGTTTCATTTTATTCGATTGATTCTTATGAAACGTAGGTGCAGGTCTCGACGCAGCTGTGGAGGAGGCGTGTTTAGAGAGTAAAGACAGGATATCTTCCGTTTGTAAGAAAGAGAAAAACTATATTCCTTTAGTGTGCATTATTTATTGGGGACTTTGCCTTCTTATTTCGACTTTACTATACCCATGTGTACTTAACAGGCGAACGTTCAAATTTTGCATTGATTTTTGCTGATTTTCCGCAGTTTCGGATTTGAAAATCGAAAGCATCCCTAATATGCAATGGCTACATCCGACTATTTACGATGAAATTTATTTTCAACGCTCCAAAGTAACCGTAAATGTCATTTACGTACATTATGTTTAGGTCTGTTCTCAATCACTTGTAAAAAGCGGTGGCCACAGTAAAAAGTGTTTTCTTTTAACTTTAACTTTTACTCATCACGAAATTTGCTTTCTTAACTCAACATGTGTAATCAGACTTTATTTTTTTATACTCGTTTTATTATATTCATGACTGCCGCAAAGTGGTGTAATCAACCTCAACAGAATAAGGGAAAAAACACGGCAGCGGATTTTCGCGTGTTTTATTTCATTTTTTCACCTGTTTGAGGTCAACTCGTTGCTTTTTATCGTGGTGTAATATCTAAAGCAAACCATAAAAACACAAGGCAACACTTTACGTTTTGCATGCAGTGTTTCTTTTGTTTTCAAAATTAATATTAATGAAACGGTGGGGGTTCACCTACGCGTTTTCCATTCTTTTCCAGAAAATTCAGTAATTAAGGCCTGACCTTTTCGTTCATTCTTAAATTAAATCCTCAAGGAACGTGTAGTCAAATATATACTCCTTTATCAAACAATTAACCGTAAGGAATACAAGGAAATGTTTCACAAAAACTTTTATTTAATATTTTAATCATCAATTAAAATACAAAAGCAAATTAATTGAATTACAACTGTTAGAATTTTCTAAATATATTTGTGAAACCAAGTTAGGTACTTAAGTAATTTGTTTTGTGTCGAAAATGTTTCATAATCATTCAACCCCGGAATCCATTGACTTTATTAATTAATACAAATTATAAATCTTATT